TAAATAATGTGAAAATTTTCTATAGCCAGCGCTAATCAAAATATTTATTTAAGAACGTTTAACAATCGTCAAAAACAAACCGCTTTCTTATTTTTTATCAAATCACGTGCATTTACACATTTTAATATTTTTTTTGATCAATAATTAATAAACATATTTGAATGTTTAACAAAAAAATTATTTATTATTATTATTCAAATAAAATAAACTAATTAAATTTCTTAATACAGATACCATAAGGATGTAAATCTGCTCCATTTGGTGAAATCCAATATTTACCAATACCAGTTTCTTCCTTTGTAAGTCTAACTAAATTATTTGGATTAACTTGATTTTGAAATATAACTTGATATCTATCTTCCTCATGAATGAATTGAGTAGCATATATAGATGCGACGTCTATATCTGGTGTTGAATAAATTCCATGCCCAAATGTGAATCGTTTACCCTTACACAAATCATAACCTTCTTTGGCAATTGATTTACAATTATGTTCAGCAGTTCCATGATAAGAAACTTTAAAATTATTGAATTAAAAAAATTTTTTAATAAGTATATAATGACAAAATAAATTTGTTTTTTTTTTTAAAAAAAATTAAATTATACCTGGCCATTCATTTTGTGCTGAACTTGTTAAAGATTTTCTACTGTTAACGTCAAGCCAAATATTATTTTCATATTTGTCAAGAACATTAAGAGTGATTCTTTCCCAACCACAAGGACGTTTATATTCAAAATTTTCTCGTTTAAAATATATCCCATCATCATTTATATCTGTGAAATTATAATCGAATATTAGATCAAGGTGATTAGGAAGACTATATAAAGTGGGACCTCCACCTCTCAATCTCAATACAATTTGTAAGGTCGATCCATTTCGTATATTGTATTCATTTAAAGTATGTTCATCTTCTAATTGATTACTAGCAAAAATTAATCATTGCTGATTTGACGGTATACCTTTCTTATCTTGAATTGCCAATTTTACTTGGTCAATTGTCATAGTAAATTCAACTTTCAATGTTATAGTTTTACCAGTTAATGTGTTAACTAATAATTGTTCACCTCTGCCTAATTCATTTAATCTTACTCCAGCGTAAGGTATCCTACCACCAACTAAATGAGACTGATGAAGAGATTTTTGATTTAATTCACCGTAACAACCATCATTTTTCTTTTAACATAATCATCATAAGTAACAACATTTAGATTTATAACAGCACTGAGAGCTGCGGCTAAAAGAGGATTTGACATAAATTTTCTTTTTTTGAAATTTTTTTTACAAAGGAAAGTACTGGCTTATTTTAAATCTTTTGAAGGGAAAAAAAGGGGTTTCACATCTTGTTCAATATCATTTTCCATGATATTACATAATTTATGGTAATCAATAATTTAATTGTTTTTTAATTTTTTAATATACGCCTTTGGGAAAATAATTCAAATCATAGTCCGATCGTGTATTAATTATGATGTGTTTCCCAAACAAGAATCGTCATCTTGATGCTTATAATAACAAATGAATAAATCATACAAAAATAGTATTTGTAATTGTGGCCAAATTTGTCCTTTTCGATCACGAGAGTATTTTTATTCAAAGTTTCTTCATAGAACATCATCTAGATTATAATGAAGATATAATGAAAGATATAAAGTTCTATCACCACCTCTTAATATCAATACTTAATATAAGATTTCTAAGGTTAACATTAATACAAGTTATTCAATTCTTTGACAATAATATGGTAATGATATTTTTATGATATTGCAATTAATAAGAAGTTTGGTAATAAGTAACATCAATGATTATGTGATGGAAGATTAGTTTTTATGTTTTTATAAATATAAATAAAACATATACGTTCATTTAGATCAAACGATGCTTTAGTAAAATGAATTATTTATATTGTTCTTTTACCCAACCGAATATTGTGATTAATCCCATATTAGTAACAATATACATGAAAGCTATTTTGTTCTGTGTAAATCGTTGACGCAGTAGTACATTTCAACAAAATTGATTTATAATGTTATCAACAACAAATATATAATTTTTTTGTCATTATAAAAATCAACAGGATAATTTCATCTGAAAGAACAAAAATTTAAGAGTAAACATGCTATAAGTGAACACGTGTTATAAAGCCCTGGATTATTTGATGAATGCTAGGAAATAAACAAACAAAATATGCTGTGTTTATAGATTTAAATCCCAAGGATCGCATCATACATGAGTAAATCAATTTTTTTTTATAAATAGGTAATACTAACTTTGTAAGAATAGCAAAAGTGTAAGTAGGTGGTCAAGCACCTAACTCAATGGATCGGGAAATAAAATTTTAATTAGTTGGAGATTACCATTTCAATGAATAAAATATGTAGGCCCAAAACCATCTTTTTTTTTATAAAGATACGCTGATTGGCTAAAATTTACCATTAATAGAGTATAAAAAGAGATCGTTCAAGCATTTTTCTTCATTTTTGTAGGTTGAGTAGTAGCTCTATTATTGCTTTGTTCATTATAAACTTTCGATGAAAAGAAGCTGCTCAGGTATTGATTGCAATCCTTATTTAAATTGATCATGGTACATAAGCATCATCTCAAATCACTAGCCAATTTCATTGGATTTTTATATACTTTTTCTACGATGTAATTTATTTTATTATTATTACTTTCAACACAAAATTTTTATTTGATGGGTTATTGAATATTTAAAGTTTTTGTAATACGTAGAAATTTTGTCAGGTGTGGTAAATCAAAAACTTTTTTTTGCTATAACCCTTGCAGTGTTCATAATTTGATTTTGTTGCTTTCCACTTCATCATAATAAATTGCATTTCGGAATTTTGAAATATATTCATTCCATTCTGGAAAATATTCATCTTCAAAAGTCTGATTTCTCCTTTTGACAGAGCATGGTTTGTTTGGATTTAACTCGAGAACTTTCAAAATCATTAATGTAATTTTTATTTGAATTACAATTATTTGTTCTGTTGAAAATGAATCAAATATTCATTAATCAATCCCACTGAATACCTAATAAATAAATATATTATTATGTTAACATACAATGAATCAACCAGTTTCTGTAATAATGCAAAAATAATGATCCTTAATTTTGATAGTTTTAATGATAAAACAAACCTTATATTGCCCTCACTTCTAAAGTTACAAAGAATTAAAATAATACCATGATCAATATATATATACATGTACAAAAATAACGAGCACAAAATTGAATTTATTTTACTTGCCATGAAAATCGACACAAACAAAACCATCCTCTTCATAGTCCATAAACCCCTCAAAAAGAAATATACATCATTTTTTTTTAATTTGATTTGAGGCAAAAAAAAGATTATTTGGGATTTCCATGATGTAATATGGTAGGTATTACATCCTCCTTTTTTTTTCGTTCTATAAAGAGTAACGTTGGTGGTATCAAATAGTGAAGCATGTCATTCGTCAGAAATTTTCACACCACTCTGTGTTTGATTTTCGAATACCGAAAAGTGTTTTAAATATCGCAAAAAACCTACCCCCGAAAGCAAGGCTTGCTTACCTTGGAAATTGAGAATTTTTTTCGGGAAATCCTATAATTTGTCATATGGGCCCTTTGCGAATAGCACTGAATATAGTACCCTGTGTATATATGTATAATACCCTCCCGGTTTATGGAGTACAATTTGTAAAATACCCGGAGTTTATAAGACGAAAATTAAAGAAAAAAATTGTAGAATTGTTCGTCAAAAAGTACATTGCGTTTTAATTTCCAATCAAAAATTTTATTATAACAAAAATATAAACAAAATTTCGTATTAATTACCAAAACTTTATTCAAGATTTTGACCTGAAACCATTTCGCCTTATGTTGTTATTTTTCTTTTGTTTCTGATGGTTAAATACAGTGGCACTCAAAAGTATTGCATCGGGTACAAATATAAACAATTAATTTACCCTTAGGTTTCGACGAACTATAATAGTCGAAACTAAAATAATCGAC